CAAGTTCACCTGCAGTTGTGGTGACACCTATATAGGTAGAACCAGTAGTGTTCGAATGCTGTCGGAAAGAACATGTTCCAAAATGGCTACTAAATCATATAGACAATCCCAATGCAATTAATCTGAGTAGAAATCCATCATCATCATCCATTGCAAAACACTTATTAATATCTGGTCACAAAATCAGTATTAATGACTGTTTCACAATTGTTTCACATAACTCTAATTCAAGGTTATTGAAGGTGATGGAATAAAACAATTCCAACAGTGCTGTGAACACGAGCAGTAATTTTGCTCGAAATATTACCAATAACAAAACTTATCATTGTGTGTAAATTATTGAAATATAATTATACTTTATGTGATGGAAGCACTTTGGATTAATCTCATACTTCCTAAACTATATGCACAAAAAACAATAGACTTCAACCTTCGCCTACCATGGTCTACTTGACCTAGTTAAATATGATTGATCATTAGTATGTACTTTTGTTTAATGTGATGGAGTGATTGTCATACCTTTTATTTTACTTTATTATTGTGAACCATGTTAGTTGTAAAAGGTATGCAGAGAAACCACGAAATGATATCATCTCGCGAAATTTATCTTCTAAATGCCTTATCCAAATTTTTCAAAGGGACTAATTATTTTAACAGATAACAATTACAATAGACACTCAGTGTTTTTGTGTGTTAAAGTTTGACAGTGATTGGAAATACTAAAGTGCGAAAATATTGGTGCAAAGGATTATGACTCACAATTGAATTGGTTAGATATACGAATGATTAACTAAATAAATAGAGGTCAACATAGAGTTCAATAGACGACATGCGTGAAACAGATGGTCGGAAAATAAAGTACATTCAGAAATGTGAATATGTGAATATAATGCGGTGGAAGCATAGTAGAGGATGAGTGAAACGTTGTCAGAATAGTAGACTAGATAAAATGTCAGAATACATGATAGCATAAAGGGAAGTGGAATCATATAAAACATATATGGAACAATGAATAGAGAAGGATAACAAAGTCGTTATGTGAATTATATAGTAAAATCAAGACCATGGTAACGAAAGAGATCGTACGAATTGTTTTTGTTCACAAAGTTCTAGCTTAATGTTAAGTATTGTTAAAGCCTCTGCTATATGAGGGAAATGCACTCGTGTTCCTTTAGGCAAACTTTGTGGAACTTTGTAAACTATGTTAAACGATGTGTCAGATGCTGTGTTGTCAGTATGTACAATACGCTGCAATATCTATGAATTAATACTGCTACGCTCACCTTTACTCAGCTAAACTGGGAGGTGCTTATGAAAGCGGCGGGATATGTTTCGGGACGAACGTCCTATGTACCTCGCTCCACAATAGCAGGTGAACATATAAATACACATGGAATTAGACAATTGAGGTAACATCTCTTTGATATTGCGGTACACTAGTGGATGACTAGACTACGTTATTATTAACGTGGAAGTAGAGGACGTTTTTCTCAATAACCTGGCCAGGTGATTTTTAAGTACCTCACTCCCAGTGTCACACCTAAATTCTAAGTTTATGTGCAACAAGTTATAGCTACCTTGTCAATCTCTGTATTTCTTCCACGTAATTAGCTATTGGCCTCGATGCAGAGTAGTGGATACTCATTCTCTACGAAGGTTCCTTTCAGTTGTTTGAGTTCATCATCAATATTATCTTCACAATAAATTCTTCGGACCCATAATGAGAGAGAACGGATTAGATTCCTTTTTCTCTCTAAAAGGACAAAACTGTAAAATTTAATACAGCTATTAAATAGTTATGAAAAAGAAATCGTCAAAAACGAATTTTCCTCGCTGAATTTTTTTGTTTTTATGTCTCACTGGTGATTATTCATTTAAATAATCATTTTGAAATAATTCATAAGAAGCAAGAGTACAAAGGACTGAAAATGAGATCCAAAAATAAGAAATAAGACAACTACATGGAGTTTGTTATGCAACAGTTCAGAACACTATGGCCCTGATAGTAAAACGGGATGAGTGAAAGGTTACTGAACACCACGTTCAGGTTTCTACTATATTAACTACTAGAGCCTTGGCTCTATGAGGAGGGTGTGAGCGAAACCCTTCTGAACGGCATGTTCTTACAGGATTTCTTCATTAGATGACATCGATTAAGGAATCACTGGAAGACCTGGGAATACTAGACATCTGTTTCGTCCTAGTTTGCGACTCTTCTGCACTACCCACCCATCAGGGTTTGAACCCATGGCCTTCCGGTTACAAGGCGGGCTCGCAGACACGTTCTCACTCTATATGTGACTCTGGATGATATTTGTGTTAGTGATGAGTGACGAAAAGTAATAAGGTTCTTCAGAATTCATTCAGAATTCGAACATAAAAACCTAGCTAAATCTAGATTGGTTGACCCAAATAAGATAAGAAATCTAGAAAATAGTTCAGCTATAGCACTACATGCAGTTACACACAACCATACAATAGGATGGAATAGGATGATAGTTTTAAAATCTAATGTCACAGGGTATAGGGAGAGATTGGTAACAGAAGCTTTGTTTATCGAATCAACGACAAATACATGTAATACAAAAGGGATTAAACACCTGCCCCAGATATATGGAAAATTCCACTGCCCATGCGACAAATAGGAGACGACAAAGAAAACTATAAAACTCAAATCTCAAAGTCATGTGACCACAGTTGATATGATTATGAACAATAATTTGTGTTCGAAACGTCATCCAGTATACAATACTGTTTCACTGTGTGATACATCTAATAAACAAACTAATATGGAATTACTTACTACGACAGTGCCCAAGTTTTACACATATATTTCTATGTATATTCCATTCATCACGATATCATTCTACTAAATGATTTAACTTGCATTAGAATTATGAAAGGCGAAGCGGCCGTATGGTGTTTAAGTCACTTCCATCTAGCTAGCAAGCACTACTAGTTGATATGAGTTGCATAAAACTACTCATCTCAATTAATCAGTAGTATATAATGCCAAGATTTCAAATCATTTGGGAATATTGTGACAAATCAGCTATTTTTATTAAACATGTTTAAATATGTATCAGTTTACTGTAGTATATGATGACAGATATGGATAACTGGAGGTACATTTACACTATCCGTCAACATTTTTCATCTGATGGACTGAATTTTCAACAGGTGGTTTGCAGGGATTTAGAATTAGATTACAAACTGACATCAGTCAGAGGACCACTTAAAATCATGAAGTACTTGATAGCTATTTGGCCTGGCTTGGAATGTTCCAATAATAGTGTCTAATGAAACCAGCGCGGACAGAACGGAGGACCTTTGGGTAACGAGGAGAGCCACTTGACTATAAAGTCGCTTTAACAGAATTCAATGAACTATGAATTATAACTTTTGCTAATTCTTGATTTAAAGCACTGCCGCTAGCCAGTGCCAGTGGTGAATACTTGCTTTGGCACCTGACTTAGTCACAGCTCCTGGTAGCTGCATCCATTAGTCACTCACTTTTGAGGATTGTTTTCATTTCCTAGTATGGCCTTACAAGGATTTGACTTGTCTCACTTTTCTTGTTTTTTGAGAGAAGCAATCTAATGATATAAAAAACATCAGACGGATATCCACGTCTTTTAAAAGTGATTCAGAATTATCTTCATTTGAATATAAGCACTTGTTCACAACCTCCCAAATCATTCGCCTCATCTGTGAATAGTTGAAGTGTTCTCTATTTATCATTAATAATGTTTCTTGGATTCTCAAACAGTGGTGGGAGCTATTAATAGTTGTAATTCACTCCTCCCTCTTAACTATTTTATACACTGTCCCACTTCAATAATTTCTCAGACAGAATCCCAACCTTTGGTTTGAGTTTAAAGGACTAAACAAAGAATAAATTTTCTTATCGAAAAATATCACTGGTTGCTGATTTATTCTAATTTCATGAATAATTAAAAGTACGTTATCACAAAACTTTTTATGAATTTATGATTTCCAGATAAGATCTTTTTAAGAAAATAGGATTCCTTTGTTTCATGTCGCCTGAAGTAAGCTAACAGAAATTTACCATTTAAAAAATTTCGTCTGTACCGAAGTCATATGATTCATTTGGCTCTTGTAGTTTACCGCATAAATATTTTTTAAACTGACAATCTTTGTGTTTCAGTAACTGTTGAGTATCACAAATACTGCAAGATTTAACTCAGTTTTATCAGTCATATAATTTAAATGTTTTGCAATAAACTTTCTTCAGTGCTCCCATATTCACTGCCAACGTTTGTCTGCATCATTGCTCATTTTATTTTCAGTCACTGTTAAACAGTGATTTATAAATGTGGTTATTACGTGTTACTGTGAACCGATTTGCAACGACTAACATGTTCTGTACTTTACAGTTGAAAAAAACTAATATGAATGCTAGAGCAGTGGTACACTTTAAAAGTGAATTTGACCATTCTTGATAATTTTGTTTCTTATTTAAGGAGCTACTTCATTTCTATATAAAATTCCTTTCAAGACAGAATCATGTTTTAATTATGTAAAGAGTCCACGTAATTTCTTTTGGTCAACTTGATAAGAACAAGAATTTAGATGGTTTTTCTTGATCAGTATTTAGTTCAGCAGCTATGTTCTAACTGTTTTGTACCTGGAAGTTTGAAATCCTCTCAGAATTTCTTAGAAGTGTACGTGCATCAGTTATTTTTGTGATTAACAGTTGAATATTAAACTGAAATTGGACCAGTGATAACGAAAATATGAAGTCTTAGTGTCATCCACTTTCGGTATAAAAAACGGTATTTTATATTTCGCTCCTTATCATGAGTAATTGCTAAATTTGTTTAAAATATGTTATGAACACCCACAAAACTTTTCTAATAAGATGTGTAAATTTCATATGGTTTAGTAAAAATAACTCCTTCTTATATAATATACTGATTCTAAGACCTTTTTTTACTGAAGTAATCATTTATACCATTGATTTTTTTCCTTTTTACTAGTTTTCTTACAATGTTTATGACGACAGGAAGTGGCGTGAATCTACGAACGCTGAGAGCTGTACGTGTGCTTCGTCCACTCAAATTAGTGTCAGGTGTTCCAAGTAAGCATTTTTTTCATAGTTGGAGTTGGATTTGTTCTCGGTTTTTTGAAAATAATAATTTACTTCTACTTAATTTACCAGTTTTGAGACTGTTATCTGCATAACAAGCCTTTTTCAGTGTCTATTTTATTAGCAAAGAACAGAGTAAAACTATCTAGAGTTAAATCAGATGTTTGCAGATACATGGTATGAGATAAGATTTCATAATGTTTTCGTTAGAAATCTAGAAAAATAAATTACTGTAAGTTGTGTACTTAACAACATCGGCAGTACCACGAATGTCAAGCAAAAAGGTGTAGAGAATGTTCTAGTGCACAATTAAGTTGAATTGAAACCACTCACGTGAATCAAATTTGCATGCTGGTCAATTAAAAACATTTTAATTACTAATTGGTCGGTCATCTTGGTATTCAGGATTGAAGCTTTTTGCTCCTGTATCTGGTTTAATGAACTTTAAATAAGAAAATTATTTGAATTGCTTGAAGTTTGACATGCTATTTAAGAAAGCTATCAATGAAAGGTTACCAGTATTTACAAACTAGATAGTTAAAGAGATGATTGCATCGTAAAATCCAGTGCAAATTTTAAATATATATATTTGCTGTCAAAAAGTATTCTGATGTCATTATTTAGTTATTACATAATAACTTGTACAGAGAGCAATAAAAAGCTTTACATATCTAACCAAGCTGACAAAGTAAAAGTGCGCAAAACCACTACTTATGCAAAAATTGCTTTTTTTACTACTTTATGAAGTTAGCTTTGAAGCCCTTATAGATCAAAGAAACATTCCTAATGAAACAGAAGTTTATTTTATGCCTTATTTGTATTCATTCTAAATCAGTATTCTGAAAAATAGAGTTGCGCTACAAAACTATTCACTCAAAACTGAAACCTACCTAAAACCAGGTTACATATCGTTGCATGCTTACGTGAAGAGCAAATTATTCGTTAATTCGGTGTCTTGTGTGAGGAAAGGGTAAACTTTAGCGCACATCAACCATTCAACCGCTCAATTAAATTACTGCTTCTCTGTATAGACTGAAAAGGTTGGAGAAGTTTCGCTTGGCAGCTTTTGTCTACAAACAATTGGTACCAGCTACTGGAGTGAAACAAACAACACAGCCATATTCTAAATATCAAACAGGTTTTTTTTTTTTACAAATTTATCTGGAAACGCATAATTCCGTTTGTTGTCTGCCCCATAAAGTCTTTTAGAAAGATACGAATGTCACTTTGAAGTTTGCACAACTGAAGCACAATCCAGTGATCTTTTTTGTCAAGTGAAATTAATTTTCACCTCCAAGGATTCTGTATTACATAGATGTTACGACAAATTTCTGAATTTTTCACCGAAAGGAATTTGCTTCTTTTCCCTTTTGTAAGTGTGAAAAATAGATTGTCTGCTAAACTAAACAAACTCAAATAAGACGGTAATTGTTCCAACCAGTCTGAATTTTTGTTGTAGTCTACATGTGTATGTGTGTTAATTAGAACGTGTCTTCTGAACGAAAATCTTCTGTTTCATTACAGAATAAGAGAAATTTTGCTGTGGACTTTTTGGATGTTAATGAACTTTAGCATCTAGAGTTTTTGTCGAGAGAAAAAACACATTAGAGACGAAACATGTAGTCACATTTAATTAATAATATCTTTGAAGATTCTTCGCGTGTTTCAATAAAAAATTTTTTTATCAAGTCAGTATACTTCACTGGCTTATAATGAAATAATTCCAACAAAGTTTATGTTGTACAACGACAGTGCTCACATGTTAGGCCTCTCCATGAGGAACATTAAAATCTTTGTCAAAACTTATGAGTCCGCTATGTGATTTTACTGTACGACAACATTTCTAGCTATATGCTACTATAAACACAAATTTCATAATTTCTCTTGTGATTAATATAAGGTAACAGTACTATGCTAACGTAGAATCCTCTACAAAACTGGAAAAAAGTGTCGCCATGATCTTCACTGATTTGTTCCGTGTACTATTCTCATAACGTTTAACTTCCGGTTAATTTTATTATTGTTACAATTAACAGAATACTTCTGAAAAGCAGTCACGCATTCGCTTAATGATTTTTGACAGACTGGAAATTAAAGCTATCACGTTTCTCAATTTCATTTTTAATGATCACATGATAAAGAGGTGTGATGGAATGTAGGATGATTTTATTTTAAAGCACAATGCAAAAGTAAAAAGACTTCAATAGGTGTTGGAAAATAATTGGCAGTGGCCAAATTTGAACAGACTGCTTGTGTTGACGAGTTTGCAACGTCATTTTATCTGAATGAAAATTATTCGTTTATTTATCTAGGATTGGTAATGTATCCTATTTCTAATTTTATTAAGCTAAATCATGGTTTCTAATAGATTTAAACTGTTTTTGATATGCCTGTGTTCTCCAAGCAAGACAGTTAATTTGCGAAGCTTTCATCACCCTACTAGGCGACATCTTCAGCGCATACTTCAATTTGAAGTGAGCTTTTAGATTTCTCCACGAGTTTATTAATCATCTCTCCTGGTGATCTTGGATGTGATCGGTTGTTTTTGTGTGTTTTCACGCCTTCTAGGCTAATTGTATTGCAACCGATTGTTTCTTTGATTTGAACTTTGACCCTTTGTGTGTGAGGTTTCTTTCTTATCTGTGGATAAATTTGATCTATCTCGATGCGTCTATTGATTGGTGATTCACTGGAATGCCAAGCTTCTAAAAATTCTCTAGCATTTTTGTTGTTTCCTCTCTCTAATATTTGAACAGATGTAAACTGTAGATTATATATCTCATGGTTGCTGGGACTTCGTCATGTGAAACAAAACTCGTGTTTTTCGGATATGGATTAAATAGAAACAGAAAACACTGCCAATTCAAAAAGTATAGAAAAAAGATGTATTTAGAAAGAGGCACCCAAAAACTATCTTTAAAGTTCCCTAGACATGTCTAAGTGTTGGTTTGTAGGGATTTGATTGGTTTCAGGATTTCATCATGAGCTGACACTAGTTAGAGAACCAGTGGAATACCTGGGAGTACTGGACAGCTGTTTCATCCTAGTTTGGGACTCTTCAAGAGTACGCACCCACCAGGATTCGAACCCAGGACCTTCCGGTTACAAGGCGAGCTCGTATACCATTAAGCCACTGGGACCCGATCCAATGGTCCTTCTTGGTTTACCGTAACTATTTAAAAATATAATAATAATATACTACAGAAGCCTATTATTTCAAGATTTGGAATTTATTCACTGAGTATTGTAACTTTGGTCAAACACGTCTTCACTAAGCCAGCTGATCGTTATAAAAACAAATATCAACAAATAACAGATGTCCAAAAAGTAAAACTAGAGAAAACCCTCAACCAGGAACACCTGTCAACGCTGATCACCGCAATTACATTGTCAAGTAGAAAACACAGAGAACAAAGACGAAGAGTCCTCAAAACCAAGCTAGCCAAGATTAGAAAACAACAACCAGACAATACACCTATAGACTGCGTATTCAACCTATCAAAACAACCATTATCAAAAATGGAACAAGAACTAATACAAAAAGGATTAAACTACAACACCGGAGATGCTTCGAAAACTGATTTCTTCGCTGCCCTTGAATCATTACTCATATCATCAAACTTGAACGAGGAAACACAGGAAGAGATACGCCAAACAATTGTACCAATGGTCAAACAGAAAAGACAACACACACAACTCAGCGCTCAAGAACTAATGGCCCTCAAAAAGCTGAAAAATAGGAAGGACATCGTCATTTTACCAGCCGACAAAGGAAGAACAACAGTAGTCATGGACAGAGAAGAATATACCAAGAAAGCTGAAGAACTACTCAAAGATGAAGATGTATATCAACAACTCCCAACAAATCCCATACAAACATCAGACAACCGCATCCAAGGGCGACCACGGGCATCTATTCGACTGGGACAACGTTCAGATATTAGAGAGAGGAAACAACAAAAATGCTAGAGAATTTTTAGAAGCTTGGCATTCCAGTGAATCACCAATCAATAGACGCATCGAGATAGATCAAATTTATCCACAGATAAGAAAGAAACCTCACACACAAAGGGTCAAAGTTCAAATCAAAGAAACAATCGGTTGCAATACAATTAGCCTAGAAGGCATGAAAACACACAAAAACAACCGATCACATCCAAGATCACCAGGAGAGATGATTAATAAACTCGTGGAGAAATCTAAAAGCTCACTTCAAATTGAAGTATGCGCTGAAGATGTCGCCTAGTAGGGTGATGAAAGCTTCGCAAACTAACTATCCAGCTCAGAGAACAAAACCACATCAAAATCCTCCACCTGGGCTACAAATCTTCTCTATCATATCTAAAAGTTATTCACATCACAATAATAAGTGATATAGTCTAAGAGTGAAAAAAATTATCTTGGGCACATTTTTCTCATCACTTCCAGTAAAATTGTCTGTTTCTTTGAAATTGCACCTAATAGAGAAGAATACTCAAATAATCGGCTGAATATTATTATTATTTTACGCTTGTCTATTTCATCTTTTGAATTCAGGTCTTCAAGTAGTTTTGACATCTATTATCAAAGCAATGGCACCATTGTTGCAAATCGGGATATTGGTACTATTTGCTATTTTAATTTTTGCAATTGTCGGGTTGGAATTCTACTCCGGAGTCTTTCATGTGACCTGTTTTGAGCAAAGTGAGTTTGCTTAGTTTTACGTGTATTACACTCTACTTTTTACTGCTAACTTTAAATTATTCCAAATGACTTGAAATGAAAATTTATGAACCGCATTTCTTTTTAAACTACTGATTTTATAAGTCTGAGTGCATAACACTATTTTTGTAACTGTTTTACATCTGATCAACAGCCTAACTACTTTTAAAATTCATCATCATACCTCAAGTAATCACTTTTCTGCATAAATGCAGATTATTGAATAATAATAGCATCATTCCAAACAGTACTTTTGGTACAAAAATGGAATTTTCAGCATGTAGTACAGTATTGCATCTGACTTTCTCATTACGGGGTTAATAATTAAAACAGGGCATTTACATTGTTCAGAGTCTGACAAGAAAATATTTAACACTGTGTCATTTCGTGGTTTCTCTACAATATTCGCTAATTTTTTGCAAGAGTTCACGTGTCTATCTAATATGGTAGTTAGTTTAGCAACATCCCAGTCGCCTTGCTGACTGCTTTAATTGCCAGTCACAGTATAACGAAGTCTTTTTTAAGAAGCCCGGGAAAGATTAAGGGGGAGTAGTAAAGAAGTATAGGCAGAATATTCAAATTCACAAACTTAGAAATTAGGGACGGAATGATACCAGATCGTCTTAACTTCCTTACACATAACGTCAAAAGAAATATCTTTCTGGAAAATAACATGATGTGAGGAGACAAAAAAAGATCAGAGGAAATACATAGTCCAACGTATTTAACATTCGATTTATTTCAACTTCTGTGGTATCTATTATAGAGGGACTACGTGAACTAACTAGTTCACGTATTTTGCGTTTATGTCTGAAAGTGAAATCAACCACATGGTATTTGGAGGGATTAACCTTAAGACTATTTGATGAGGACCACTGACTAATTTCTGTTAAGAAGTTATTCATTTTTGAACAGTTTGACCGAGAATTAATGGACATCAAGACAATCAAATCATCGGTATACTTAACAAAATGGTTTCCACCAGCTAGAGCAACTGAAGCAATGTAGCTGTAAAATATAGGGATTTAATTAATTTCATGATGAGTTTCCTATGAGCCAACATTAACAATAGAACTGCTAGTAGACGTTTTCTTCTTGTTTCACTATCTTCTCCATATATATTGTAGAGATGCTGTCTACTTTTGAGAGTTCCGGCCTCTTAAGTGCATTACAAAAACTGTCTGAAGTGGTTATCTAAGGCTCAATCATCAGCGCGGTACTTGAACATCTGATAGTTTCTCCTTTTATAGTTATACCGGGATTCTTTTTCACAACTTTCTATAAGTCTAAGTGGAATGGTACATAAAGAGTTGGGTTAAAAAATGGTAGATGACAATGGTGTTAGCCTGTTGGATTATGCTGATTGTCATTGACTTTTTGTCATCACACATAGCATATCCTTTAATTGTTTTGTCTATTTCTTTACCTTCTTGACGTTCGTCAACGTCAGACCCAGTAATAATCTGCATACTCTTCTTACCTTCGTCAGATCTGAGCCATTGAGCGCAACCACCTTGCGTATTCTACTCCACTACTTCTACAGATCTGTTAATGATCAACTCTGTTTCTGTCTTTAGAAATCAGATTCTCATCAATTTATTATACTGGTCTAATTCTTCCTTCTGTTGGATAACAAACTGTCATTTGTCTGCATAAATACAAATATGGAACTGTTCAGCCTTGGAATATAATTTGACCAAAAATAAAATTCTCTTCAAAGAATCATCTCTTTGTTTTTTTCTGGTGTACAATAAACAATATTTCCTCTCAGTTAATTTCATGCATACAATATGAAATTATCTTCCTGAATTTTATATTTATAGTATTCCAAATTGACTGCCAATAAAAATTATAGTAGCAATCTGCTTAAATAGCCATACTGAGGTGTATTTAACGTGAATATTACACTATATTTTGATTGATTTATAAAACATTAAAATATGAAAGATCTTGATAATTCATACAAAAAAACAACAGCAGTGAAGTGTCAGTTTGTGACATATTATTTTAACATTTTTTCTAGGAAATAAAATAATAATAATAACGGTAACCAGATTCAACTATTTCCTGAAGTTATTCTAAACAGTGTGTGTTGTCTACTTGTTGTCCCACCCAATAAAATATCATAGACACAAATACACCTCTCCACTCAATGATACATCAAGAATAGTGATGAACTGTTCTAAAATAGAAAAAAGGATATAAAAAAACTAAGAAAAGCTACTTATCTGTTAGGTATTTCAAGTGGAATACTTTTAAGGGTGTGGAAAAAAACAGAGAAAAATAGGACATTATATGTGTATATATATTTCTGACTGAAATTTAAATCACTTTATTTTATTTAACATAGAAGTTGTAGAAAAATAACTCCTACTTTTAAGACCGTTGAAATTATTGAACTCAATTTGAAAATGAGATCCATATAAACAAAATGAACGTTGTATATGAAAAAAATTTTTTATAGAAAACCATCAGCTTTATGATGAGTTAAGATAAAGTTTGTATAAATATGTCAAGTGATTGTTTCGTAAATTTAATTTCAAAACAGTAGGGAAATAAACTTATTTATCACATCAGATGTCAAGATCTAATTTCGTTGTAGGTAACTTTATCCATAGCTTTATCCATAACTTGTATTCCATGTTATAAACAGGTCATAAACCTTTTGAAATTGAACCTTGAAACGTATTCAGTAAATTATTGATCGAACTAAAAATCCCTTTATTCATTCGTAATTTTAATATTACAGCACTTCCATTCGGTGTCAAATGATAACTCATGCACACGACACGTACTAATTATTGTCTCTTATAATCAATAATATGAATACAATCATTTTATTTATGCTGATATTGAAAATGAGAGACAGTGTTATAGTTCGAAATCTCATACCATAGACGAAGCTCACAGATAGAACTACTTCTTTCATTCAGTGTTCTTGATGTAGATTTACTTTTCATGCTACAGCTGAAACTCAGTACTATTTGTTTAAAGTCTGAATGATGGTCCTTCTGGGGTGACAATCAAGTGCTGCGTATATCTTAACAATCGTATATTGGTTTGATTCACTAGAGTGAAACTTGAGTCACAGAATTCAGTAAAAGAAATTGATAATCGTGTAACATTGCAGAAATATTGATAAATGCATTATGAATTCTATTTTAGTATGATTTCATTGATTAGTTCGAAAATGGTCATCAGCGGAAACACTAGACAACTGGAGAACTTAGGCCATCTGGATTGGAGTTAATTTGCCATAATCACTAGAACCATCGTAAAACCAAAATATTTCAGATCTTAGTGCATCTTTATATGTACTACTATCCCTTTAAATAGGAACTTATTTGTTATTTTAGTGTATATGAGAGTTTATGCAAAATCTTTATGAAATATTTTGTCCCTTCTTTTCTGAACTAAAGGTAATCCAACAGAGTTACCTAGTTACATTCCAGATACTCCCGGTTTGATACCTTGTCAGCCTGCTGATGCACATACAAGACCACCAGGAGGTTTCATCTGTCCAGCTGGGTACATATGTAAAGGTTATTGGGAGGGACCGAACTACGGTATTACAAGTTTTGATAATATTGGATATGCAATGTTAACAGTATTTCAGTGCATTACAATGGAAGGTTGGACAGATGTATTGTATATGGTAAGTGTTTTGATGAATAAAACAAAGTTATTAATAATCCTATACCAATGTGACTCTGTATTACTGACTGACTTATATGAGTGCTTGTATACCACTCATATCAGTGCTTGCTAGCCAGATCGAAGTTATCTAGAGACTAGACTGCTCTTGCATAAGTTTAGGGCAGAGGTCATCATCAGTAGATCCAGTTTGAATCAGCTAAGTGAGTCGAATCAGCTCAAAACACCCAAATTAATTAGTGAATTTTGAATTCAGTAATCAATCAAAACCGTTCACTGTTTTGTAAACTAATTACCTCAATATCGCTGAGATTTTACAAATATAATTTTTTACAGATAATTACCTCTTTATGAGTAATTTAATCTACTTAATTCAACTGCATTCCATATTGTTTTTGGTTTTTGTAAACAACTTTGTCCGCGACAATATACATTCACCACTTAAAGTTAGTTGAAGGTGTTGAAAAAAAGAAACAAAAATTTGTTAAGAGTACAGTCTATTTTGTGAAATCAGTGACTTCAATAATAAGCTATTCAATAGGCATGACTTAAGTTTGCTCTCAATACTTGTTACAAGTAAGAAGAATAAAAAGTGAAAGAGAACTAATTTCCTGTAAATTGTTTTGTTTTAATTACTGAAAGGTACTATATACATCAGGATTAAAATCTTGATAATTCTGTTTCATTAATTCCGTAATCAACCTCACCTAGTTTATTAGCTCGCTAGTTTTCTAGCCAGTTTCAAGTCCCAGTAAAGAGGGAGAGAAGTGGACGTGGAACTCGCTAACCTTAACTACTAAACCTACCAAACTGCTACAGAAACTTCAGTGCACAAAAAAATATTAAAATCATAAAAAACAAATTTATTCTTAGCTGGAATCAGAGAAGTGAAATGAAACAGCGAGTTAGTGAAAGCCTTCGGGAAGCCAGTCAGCCAACCGGTATGTCTTCTCTCGATGAAAGCAAGAACAAGAATGGGGACGTGGAATTTAAATACAGTGTGTGAGGCTGGAAAGGCTGTGAAGGTGATGAAAGAAATGTGATTATAGAAGTGCTGGGTATCTGCGAGAGCATATGAAACGGATGTAGATTATCCAAACTGTCAACCTGGAGAGTTAGTAATCTACTCCAGTATGGTCACTCAGACTAAAATTACAAGTACGCTGAGGCAGTGAGTGGCTATCGTGATATCACCAGTGGCAACCAAAGCCCTAATGCAGTACAGTGGGCACCAATTTCATCCTGCAGGATTATGACATAAAGATTCAATTCAAAGGGAAGGGAGGTTACAATTTTCCAATGCTTCGCACAGTGCTACAGACAACTCGGAACAAGAGAAGAAGGAAGATTTGTACAGACAACTACAAAATCTTCATAGGCGATATGAACAACAGCTGACTGGGAGTAGATAACACGGGAAAAGAATTCATCATGGGTCGAGGGGCTCTCACTCGGAGAATCGAATGAGAACGAAGAATTATTCGGAGACCTCTGTATTTTCAATGATTTGGTGATTTGAGGCGGCGTGTACAAGCACAGGGATATACACAAAACAACATGGATTACGCCTGATGGACACCACGAACCAGATAGAATTCATATCAATGCTGCTCAGCCTACTAGACACAAAGTAGAAAAGGGGGGAAGATATGGGCTCAGACCATCATCAAGTTCAAATGACCTTCAAGGTGAAGTTGAAATCCATGAAAACAAACGGAGACAGTCCACAACTCAAGTTCGACATTCAGAAACTGAAGGACAAAACTACAAGGGATGTCTTCATTGCAGATATGATTAAAGCGAAGTCGGAGACACTACGTAGTATCAAGGAGGAAACTTGTCTAGAGGAATAATGGAACTCTCTGAAGGTCATGTTGAGGGAAACGTGTAAAACTGTTCTAGGAGGAAAAGAGGAACAAGACGGTGAATGGATACCTGGAAGCTAATAGAAGAGAGGAGAGGAGGAGGATGAAAGGGAAAATGGCACAATACAGAGATGCACAACAGAAGGAGAATCTAAGTTCAATGTACACTGCAGTAAATAAAGAAGTGAAGAAGAGTTTTAGGAAAGACAGTAGACAACTCTACGACACACTGGCTGGAGACTGAAGCAGAACAAGCTGTGGGTAAAAAGAGATCTCAGAACTTTATATCAAATAACAAGGTCTCTATCCAGGAAGAAATCAACGCAGGTTTGAAGGGACCTAATTACCAGGGAGGATGAACAAATCAAACAATGGGTTGACCACTTTAAAGGTCTCTTGAATCGACCATCACCTGCAACTCGCTCAGAAATACCGCCAATAGTACTCTCAGAACTGCCAGTGGGCACCACACCTCCAACGAAATTAGAAAGACGTGGAAGGAAGGAAAGGTGCCTACCGATTGGAAGAAAGGCTAGCTACCTTGTCTAGATACCAAAGAATGGTAACTTACGCCTCACTCTGCAAGGACTACCGTGGAATAATGCTCTTGTCCAGGCCAAGTAAATTACTAAATCGCATCATTCTGGAGAGAATAAAAGATGCACTGAATACAGAACTCCACCTGTCGTAACAAGCTGGATTCAGGAAAGGCAAACCATGTGCTGATCAAAATGCAACTCTCTGCATCGTCATCAAACAAGGCATAGAATGGTAGTCAAACTTCTACCTTAACTTCATTAACTTCAAAATGGCCTTCTATGGCATTGACCGAATAGTAATTTGGAAACTACTTCAACACTACAGAGTGCAGCGGTCGAGTCTTCGTCAACCTCATTCGACAGCTGTATGACGAGGACAAGTATTAAGAGATCCACCATGGAACCTTAAGAAAGGTGTTTAAAGTGAATACAGGAGTAAGAAAAGGGTGCTGCATATTGTGACCGATGATATTCTTGAGTGTGGTGGACTGGATTATGTGTCAGACTTTGCACAAGGTGCGAGAAGACAGGAATACGCTGGACCACCGATAAGAAGACTCTAGAAGATATGGATTTCGCAGGTGATATATATATATATAATGTCACACAAAATCGAAGAATTAAAGGCAGAAACCAACAAACTGGCTAAGCAAGCAGGCAGCGAAGCCAGGACTCCAGGTGGACATAGAGAAGACCGGGAGGATGAAGATAACGAACGGACCGCAACAATAACAACCACCACCAATCACCATAAACGTGACAAACTTGAAAGAGGTTGCCTTCTTCACTTATCTAGCTATGAAGCATCGTTCCAGCTACAGGCAGTCAGAACGGATGAAGATGTCAAAGCCAGCCAGCATCAGAAAGGCAAGATATACCTTCATCAACCTGCAACCAGTTTGAAAATCTTCTCCACTCAACATAAGGAGTAAGATTCGGATTTTCAACGCCAATATCAAGTCGGTCCTTCTATACTGGTCACAAACTTGCACTGAATATCACGAAAAGGATTTCCAACAGGTTGCAGACTTTCATCAACATCTGCCTTCGCTGGCTCCATGCTGAAGATCAAATGGCTGGCCGGAAAGAATTAATGACAAGAAACTCTGGCAATAAACTAACCAAGAGCTGACTCCTCAAAAAAAGTAGGAGAAAATGGAGATAGGTTGGGTATACGTTTATAAGGCTGTCAAATGGCATCTCGGGCCGGGTCATTGCTTTAGTACAAACGTAAGTGGGAATTGACGGACGGTCGTCCAAGAGTGACATGGAGGATATCGTGAGAGGAGGAGCCGAGAAATTACGCGTAGTCATGGACGTAGCTGAAAAGGACGGCAGAAGATAGGACGAAGTGGAGATGTGTTGTTGAAGCTCCACGTTCCACTCAGAACCCAAGAGAATAATAATATTTTACAATCGGTTGATTAACATATTATCGTATTCAGATTTTCTCAGAAAATACGATTTCTATGCATAGTAGAAACTGCATTATATTATTCGTTTGTAGCACCTAGTAATTTTAACTACTTTCTTGCCATCAGTGACAATTTTAATCACAAGAGAGCCTTGGAAGAGATTTAATGAAAAGTGGTCAACTAAACTTGAAACAGAATAAGCCCATATTGTGCAGAATATTTGTAGTTTCGATTGTATGGCATACCTAGCATAGTGACGTGATTATAAAGATTACAGAACTATATACATCTGACTTTTCAATCAACAGTCTGCATTGAATGGAGGCACTTTTAAGTTAGATAAATGTTTGGATGAATAAACTCGTATGCGGCTTCATCTTAGTGTTTAAATATCGTGAGAACACACCTGATGGGACTAATTAGTGGAGTTATAAATGTGATTAACTGTCAAATGGGGTTCAGTATCCTCTAACAGTTTACTGTTTTCCCTTTGTCTTATGTGTGCTTATTTCATCTGTTTTAAGGTCTTCACTTGATGAATTAGGGGAAACGTGTTATTGATAAGAATGTTTTTTTAAATATATAAATACTTCACAATTTAGATCATCTTATGTTGGATTGTTTTTCAATGAGAGAAAAATCGAAAGCGTATCACGCTGGTTAGTTCGTCTACATATTTGTAAACTTAGATTCCTATTATCCGTTGCAAAAGTGTTCCTAATTTTGGTTACTGCTTGTCTAAATACAACTCATCGTCTCGTGTGACACCTTTTGGTGTTATCATAAAATACGCCACAATGGTATTTGATGGCCACTAAGACTTATTCTGATGCATACTTACGGTATACAACAGGATTTGAAGTTTTCATTGATGACTGAGATATGTTATTCTTATTTTTTATTTTCTTATAGACCAATCGGACTTATGGTTCACGTTTTAATTGGATCTATTTTATACCATTAATTGTTATCGGCGCCTTTTTATTAATCAATTTAGTACTTGGTGTTCTCAGTGGGTAAGTCATACTGATATTAACGGGGTAAAGATATCTAACTACATACTGATTTCCTTGCTTTCATGCTTACTGAACAGTATAAGCTGGGCTTTCGGTGAAAATAAGACGTCATTTCATCGCACACTTTTCAAAGCAGCTTGCCATTTGACAAAACCAACCTTCTGACTATTAATTTTGTAAATAATCAGCTTTCTTCATAGGTTTTCATCCTTACATCTACGTCACATACAACGGAGATTAAAAATTAACTGTAATGAGTTACGTTTAGAAAAAGCACAGGATCAGCATTGCGATGTATTTTTTAGATTTATTTTCAGTTCATCGTGACAGCACTTATTTTCCCACTAAAGATTTAAGCTTCTACTGAAGCTTAAAATAACTAATAATATTTTTTGTGGAGCACTAGCAACAAACATTGTGGAGTGAGTTAAATTCATTTTACTCCGTGTGGTCTAAATCTGCCACATACAAATTAATTTCAAAGTTTGTATATAGTTTGCTAGTTTAGAATTTCACTGTCAGATTTAAACAATTTAAAATAGTTTCACATTAAAGTTAACACAAAATAAGTCCTTTCATATTATATATATATATATATATATATATATATGCAAATATAACTGACAAGGTTTATGGCCTAACTAAGCAACACAGGGAAAAAATATGTTGTTTTTGAAGTAAATCATAATGCGAATTCGATTTTTAAGTCTAAACAACATACCAAGTCGACGTGACATTGACAGTGAGGTGTTTTTCAAGTTTAAGGTTTTAGAGAACTAAACATAGAGAAGCTTAGTTATGATATGACAGGGATGGTATGATGGGGAGATATTATAATGATAGGATAGCAAAAGGCTGGGACTGAATAGCAAAGTATAATTCAGATATTGATTTACGACTTCCCCAAATAAACAACCCACTCTTTTCACATGAATTAACGTAATTAACTAAACTGGAAACTTCCAAGTTATGTACGTGTTTGTGACTATCAGTTAAATCTGTAGTAAAAGCTTAGTACTATTAAAAACTAGTTAACTGCATGCCTCAGTATCTTACCGATTGAGTTAGTATCTCACTGAGACTCTAACCCACCTGGCGTAGGTGCAAACTCTACATCACTTCCCACTATTATAACAATCTTCAAAAGTTACTGTTCAGTTTTCTGTTTTCCAGTGGTTCACAAGGACAGAGTGAGTAGTCCTCTTGGTGTATAAGCTGAATATCAGCAGCACTGAGGAGTTTTTTTTACACAAACTCAATATGCAGAACAGACTGATCACTTCAGTTCTCAAATTCAGTAGTCAGAAAAATCAAAACTTCTATTAACAAAATGTCAAGTTTGTTTTGTGATAAACATCAATAAATAAGTTAGCTATCTGTATTGGACAGAAGTAATATAAATGGTAATATATTCCATATCCATTTATACTTCGTTTCTTGAAATTCGTAAAGCTTTGTTGAAATCAGTTTTCCCATCAGGCTATATTTCTGTTATGACGAAAACTGAATTTTCAGACTTTGTGATTGGACATACTGTTGAATAAGGAAAGAAATTTGTTTTCGTTCTCTTTTTGAATTAACAATATTTCCAGGCAGAAATCCTATTTTCATTTAATAAATCGAGACCATAGAAGTTGAGAAAAGGATTTAGTTTCGAGCAAAACCAAATTTTCTATATTCTACACTTTCATTACAGAATACCAGCTATTCAATAAAATAAGGTTTAGTATAAAAACACCATTAAGAATATAAAATTAAGAAATCTTATGACAGTGGCATTTTGTCACGGAAAGCTTATCTAGTTTATGTTAACAAACAGAACTTAATAATACCGGTTCTCACCTAAACCAAGAAAATATTCCTATGAAAATTATGCTTACTGGAGAATCATTTGGACGAGTTTTTTGAAATGGAAGCAGAAAACAGAAAAGATGATAGCTGTATTGTTATGTGAATACAAATAGATATAGAATGACAGTCACTTTAAGAAATTCTCAATCACCCTTAATCTACACCCATTCAGTCACATTGGCACTATATGTTCCACCAGCAAAGTACGTCGCTGATGTTGTTCTAGACATCATAACACTCCATGACTGACCCTAAATGATTTCAAAAGAAATAGATATCTATTACTTATTTCAGCTAACCGCGGTGATGAAATTGTTGTACGGGGATTTGCAATTTTTGGCAGAATAGTTGTCAAAATTTGTTCAGGGATATTTATCAAATTTTAAAATGAGGCTGAATATTTGCGGGTTATGTTGTAGATATTCTGGTGATTGTTACTGTCCTATATTCTGTACTTTCTGACAGAAGACTAGAAATCATTCCAGACGTTATCTTGGATGACGTTCCTTGGAAAATTTAATTCAATAAAGTTTTTGTCATAACTTGTCAGAATTCTTTCTTGGATAAAACTTCAAATTAATTTTTTACGAATTAGATTTGCTTTGATTCGTTCTGCTCCGCATATATTTAACCTTTGATTAAAACACTGACTTCTTATTATTCCTGCATAGGTGATAATGTTGTGATGTTTTTGTTGAATTGAGCTTTGGGGACAGTCATGGTTGAATGATGTGTGGCCTGTGTTTAGGAGCTAAGTTCATTTTTATTCGTCATCCCAGTGGTTTGATTTGCGATTATTAAGCCTTTGTAGTTCATATTCGAATGTTTTCATTTGCCATATCAACGTTGCTAGATAAAATCATTTGACTCACCTGGAATAAACGTGTTTCCATTGTTGTCCAGAAGGTCAATAAAGCTAATCAATGAAATCATCCGGCTTAGGAAGCACAACAGCATCTGAAAACGTTCATCTAAATTTGTTATTTTCATCACTTCAAATTATGATGATTGACTACCTTCTAGTGTTTGCAGAAACACTAGGAAAAGACTACAAGACTACTCAAAATCCCACTGGGGTCATCTACTTATCAAAACTACTTTTCAAATCTTGGTAATACTGGTGTTTTCAAACTTTGTATTACTTCCTCACAGTAGTTTTAAAGGAGACGTTTTTATAATATTCCATTCGGCTTATGAGTACATTAGTCCGCAGAACTATAAGTATGTAAAATAAATAGATAGTAGATATTTTCATTGGACCTAGAACTTTGGATTTTCTGAAAGTAGAAACCGCGGAATTTTGGTTTTGAATAATTTTGAGTCATCTCTGCCGAGTAATTCATTTTTGTTCTTGATCTACTTGAGTTTATTTCAAGTTTGTGCTATGTTTTATGCTGTAGAAAATTTAGTGCATTTTAGATATTTCCTTTCTTCTCCACAATAACTACCACTCTGTCAAATTAAATTCTTCGTAAAGTAGCATCGAGTTTGACAACTAAAATGATGTTCACAGATCAACCAACCAAGTTCAAAGTTCAGGAAGTGAAAGAAGCCACCAGTAAAGCCAGATTTACTGATGTAAAACATCTTCAATGTCTTCACATATCACTACTATTCGTAGTAATTTTATAAGTCACCTAATACAAAACCTTTCATCATCACATGAATATTAGGCAACTTCATGAAAACCATAGTTCATCTGACTCTGTTACTTAGCTAATAAAATATTATGATTACAAAAACTAATATTTATCGCTATGTGCTTCCATTAGGTCATTTTCATCCACAGTTTTACACTTCTGCTTTGACAGCTAAATCATGGCTTTGATTCTAACCTATCCATGAACAGTTGTTTTGTACTTAGCTACCGTCATGCATACATGCTATGTCTGCTGCATGAATAACGTTCACACGTCACTTAAGTAAACCCTCTCAAACAGTTGTATTAATTTAATCGAAAGTCTTCGATTAAATCAAAGTTTTCAAGGAGAATAGACCTAATGCCTTACCTAATCAGCATGTCTCTGAAAAACAAAGTGTTGTTTGGCTGCTTTTGCCTATTCCTGTATACTATTTTATGGTGAATGATGCTCATGCCTGAGAACACCATTCCACTTTACTCGGAAATCTTCAGCTGAATATTCATGAGCGATGGTACTTATAATAAATATCGTATCTCAAATTGTTCATTTACTTTTCAATAGTGGGTCTTCTTCGTATTAATATATGTAGTTATATGAAAGACAGCTGTATACTGTATTGAAACTAAATTGCTATAAAACCCAGTTTTATATAGTCTCGACTTTTATATGAAGTAGCGTTAGTTCCTGGTTAGTGTGACCAAAGCAGAAGAAAACTAGGTTTAAAAGTAATGTATAGGCTTGTCAAGAACTATAACTAACTTTATTATTTTCTCCCCTTCTACCACATAAAAAACTACCTCAGAAGCCACTTTACACACAAAGTGTGTGAAAACTGACTCCTAGATTAGAACATCGCCCTTTATGACCCTAGAATTGAACCTTAGTGTACAGGTACTTACTAGGTTGTGTAATATGATGAAAGCTGATATTTGTCTTTGCATTTTGAACTTCTAAATGATTATTCATCTCCCAACTACCTAATATGATTGATGTGTTTTTATTAAAACGTAAAACAGACATTAGTCTTGCTTGGTCTATCACCGTCAATTTTATCATAAGTCATCGGAAAGCTATTTATATGAATTCTGTTGTATTCTTATACATGGACAGGCTATCTGTCAGATTTAGGAAACCTTTCGTATTCCACGCTGAACGTAACAGCAATTGAAAGTCTAAACCAAACTTTGTCAAGTTTCTACAAATCAGTCTGTCAAAAGTGACCTTGGAATTTACAAAACGAACTAAGAGATCTGTTTCTTTAGCAATAGCAATTTAGCAATTTTTCCGGTGATCTGGATGTATCTACCTGCCAACTTTATAATAATGTACTTAAATATTCCGTGAATATGTAAAGAATCAGTGTTTAAATATGTTTAAATTAATTTTCAGGTGTTTGTTTGAAGGGATTTGATTTTGATGTGGTTGTGTTTTCTTCAATTTGAAGTCTTCAAATTGAAGTATGCGCTGAAGACATTGTCCAATAAGGCAATGAAAGCTTCGCAAATA